AGGTTGTGGTTTTTGTGCTAAATGTCTTTTTTTTAAAATTAATATAAAGTGAAAGCTGATTTCGGAAATAGTATTTTGGCAAATACTAGCTTTATATTATTGGAATTTAAAAGTCATACATAGCTGTGGATGGTCTGATTATTGGTGTTTTCTTTCTTCTGATTATATCTAAGGATATTTCTAAGTTCTAAAGTCTAATAATCCTTGTAAAGGGCAAGCATTTGCTATACCTGACCTATACAAACTGGACAATAGATGTAATTCTATATTTTGACCTATTGTAGTACCTTATAGTATCTTGGAGGCTATTAAATTTAAATCCTATTTTTAATATTTTTTTTTTATCTTTATTTTTATTTTTTTAAATAAAAATTCTTTTACTTGATACTTGTGTCTTTGAAATTTGCTAAAACTTGTTAGTTTTTAGTAAATTTTATTACAATATCAATATTTTAAAAATTTGCTAAAACTTGATAGTTTTTAGTAATAAAATTTTTAAAATTTTTAAAATGCCATTACAAAATAACGGTTTTTGTAAAATTAAAGATTGCAATAATAATACAAATCGATATTATAAGTTTACAGAAAATGCATTTCAAAAATCAAGAGAAAAAAATATATTTAATAACTATAGTTACTTAACTATAAATAATCAATTATGCTATATACATTATTTAGAAATTGTTGAACCAAATAGAAATAGTAAAAGAAAATCAGGAAATTCTAAAGATAAAAAAAAAATTTTTAAAGTTTTTACTATTTCTGAAGCTATTAAAAATAAATAAAAAAATATTACAATTAGTATTTCTAATAATCAAGTAATTTTAAATATAGATGACTTTACAAAATTAATTAATAGAACAAACTAATTAGAATTACAAGTTCAAGCAAATCAAAATTTAAATATTTCAAATAATAATATTTTAACTTTTGAAAATAAGCTTGATTTACTTACAAAAGTTATTTTTAAAGAACAAAGAAAATTAAATTATTCAATAGAATTAGATCCTGATAAATTTTTAAAATTAATTACACAATCTAATTTTCAACTTAATAGATTTTTTGATAAAATTTTTAATGCTTTAAGTCCAAAAAATAGAAATCAACAAACTAGAGAAAATGATAAAAAATCAGCTGTTAGATTTTGTTATCTTTTTGCTGAAGTTCAAAACAAATTTGCAAATGAATTAAAAATAGAAATTGGACTTTATTTATTAGCATCTGGATGTAGTTCTTCAGCAATAGATATATTATCAAATTTAGGAATTATAGCATATTATAAAACAATAGATGACTATAAAAAAAAGATAGCAAAAGAGCATTTTGCAAAAATTTCTAAATATTTTAGAATTTTTGTAAGTATTTTAAAAATAATTTAATCTAATTTTTAATTTTTGATTTTAATTTTAATTTTTAATTTTATTATTTAATTTATTTATTTAGCAAAATAATATGCATATTTTTAATATTGATGATTATTATTCAATTCATTCTTATCATCAACCAAGTTCAACATCTTTATATAATATACATCATATAGCAATATGTATTGCAAAAAAAATTAATAATTGTATACCAATGCTAGCAATATATAATGGAATTTCTTTTTTTAATCTTTTAAATATTGATGCAATTTTAATTAATAAATATTTATTAGAAAAATATAAAGAATTTTTTGATATAAGTTATAATGCTAGAAAATTTTAATAGGCTAATCAAACTAAAGAAAAATTTCAACATTTTGATCGAATAGGACTTCTTACAATTCATATATATGATAATGCAATAGCTGAACAAAAAAATAAAAGATCATTAGAAACTATTCAAATTATTAATATAAAAGTACAATCATTAAAATCAATGACAGATTATATTCATGCACTTTCAATAATAACAAATATATCATCATTATATAATTATTTAAATCAAAATATTTTACCAGTTGTAGCTGATTGACCAGGACAATTATATATTAGAAAAGCTATTACTCAATTACAAAAACAATTAAAATATAAAAATAATAATCCAGAATATCAACTACTATTCTAACAACTATAAAAAATTTATTCCAATCTTAGGACCTTTATATGTTTCTTTAAATACACAAGAATATATTTTAATAATTCATTATGATTTTTTTAACAAAATATATAGATTTATATTTAATATAAAAAAAAGACATTTAGCACAAAAACCACAACCTTATAAAATTAATCTTTTATTAGAATTAGCAAGTGAAGGTTGAAAAAAAATTAGTAATATAATAATTGTAAAATTTTCTAAATTATGTAAAGATATAGAATATCAAATGCTTATTGATCTTTTAGATAATTTAATATCAGTAGCTTTGGATATATATGCACTTATTTTTAGATCTGGATCATTTGAAGAATATATTAAAACAATTTTTCGAATTTGAACATTTGCATTATATTAGAATCGAAAAATTATAATAAGACACTTTTAGCTTTTTTATCTGATTACTTTTATTGGAAAGAAACTAAACATCCTCTTAGTACATTATTAGAATTATGTCTTGTACATTTTAATGATTATTTTGTTAAAAATGTTCATAGTAAAATTCGAGCAAATACTACAGCAAGAGATTCAGCAGATACTATACAAAAACAAATATACGTATTAAATCAAAATAATTATTCTTTTATTAATTCTTTTAAAAATACATGAAAATATCCATATTCTTTATCAACATTAGATATATTAATTAAAAAAACATCAATATTTTTAGTAAAAACTTTTTATTCAATTTATAAAAATATTGGAAAAACTAAATTTAACAAAAACAAAAAAAATTATATTATCAAATCTTCAACAAACAGTAGATATTAGAAGTCTTCTTACTGGATATCATTCATTATTTCTATCTACATTAAATCAATGTGATTTATGTAAACAAATATTTTTAGAAAGTAATGAATCAAATTCAATAATTTTAATTTGTAGACATGGATATCATTTGGATTGTTATAAAAAAATAGATAATAGGTGTGAATATTGTATACAATATTATAAAAAAAGAGTTTTTGATAATGTAAAATCATTTATAGAAACTTTAGAAAATAACAAAAAAGAAATTATAGAAGATGATAATGAAAATAATGAAACTAATGAAAATAATAAAAATGATGAAAATGATGAATATTTTTTATCAGAACAAGATAGTATTAATATAAAATATCAAAATGCAATTCTTAATGTACAAAATTGGTAAATAAATATTTATTTAAATATTTATATTTATTTTTATTTATATATATATTCAATATATATTTTTCTATATATATACATTTAATTATTTATATATTTATAAATTTAATTATTTATACTTATATTTATTTATTTATATATTTATAAATTTATCAAATATTTTTTATATATTATATGGGTGCTTTTAGGCATAGCACAATAGTTACACAAAGCACAATTCTCCCAGATCAGTCTGACGAAACAAAACAACAAAAAAATACGAAAAAAATAAAAAAAAGTAGAAAATACAAAAAACGGCTATCTAAACCTATATTAGGGCACTAAGTAAAAATATCAAGAAGACAATTTTACTTATAATACACTTCTTTGCTATAATCTTAATCAAAACTTTAACCCAAACCTTAACTTGATTAAAATTATTTACCTGGACATTGTTTTGACCAGAGATGTATAAGCTAAGCATCTCTGGTCAGAGATGCCTATAATTTCCCATATTATATATATATTAATATATTTAATTATTTATATATCTATTTATATATTAAATTAATTATATAACTATATATTTAATTATTTAATTCTACTAAACAAAATCTTAATAAGACTATTTAAAATTGATTTTTTGTTTAATATTATTCATTTTTTTTTTGAGATTCTAAAAATTAAACAAATAAAAATGATAGATTTATTAATATAATAACTAGTATAACTATCAAAATTTTTAGTATATTTTTAGAATTTTCCAATAGATTATATTTAATTTTATATTTGTTTAAGCTCTCTTATGAAAGTGAGAAAAAAATAAACATTAATTAAAATTTTAATTTTAAATAGCTTAATCTATAATTTCAAAATATACAACTCAAACAAGAACTAAATTCTATTTTATAATCTTGACAAAAATTATATTTTAATAATTTATTATTCTAAAACAAACAAAATTCTAATAATTTTAATATATATCAAGATTTTAAAATCTATACTAGAGCTAATACTTGAATTTGGATTTTTTTTTTTTTGATATTAAGGTGAGGTCTTGCCTCATATCTTTTATTAGATGTTAAATTTTTGCCTTATATGGCTACATATAATCTTAAGAATACTGGCTTAGACAATTTTATCTATGACCTAAACCTACCAAAGTATGCTACGTTCCTATTACATATTGGGTTATACCTAGATTTGATGTTTAAACTATATCTAGTTACCCACCGCATTCACCCCATGTCTCATCGTCAAACCTTGGTAACTTCCAAATTGGTTTATTCGGGTAATCGGTCCTTAATGGCCTTCCAATTTGATATGTCTGTTATTCAAGGTATTTCTAGACTGGTATACCCCTTTTAATAGGTGGCCTCTCGTCCACATTTCTCAAGCCAGGTACCTGCTACCGTCGCTAGTCCTACATGAGAAGTATTGGTATTACATGTTGGAAAAGGAGCTTATCACGGGTTTGCACTGCTCAATTCTGCCGGCTTGCATTCCTTCATGCAATATATATTACATAAATACCCCAAACCTCCCACTTGTATCTTCAGGTATACTAGCCTCGTATCTCAAGCCAGGTCCCTGCTGCCACCGCCCAGTTTGCCGTCCCCAGATCTTAGCATTTCCTAAGTTTTTTGGTGCAGTGTACTACTTACTACCCCTAAGTACTTCCTTATATAGTATTCGTCAAAACTATAGTTCGTGAGGACTCCTTGAGTTGCACAGCAACTACAAGGCTACACACTCCCAGCCATTGGCTATATTCGTAATTCTGCTTTAATGACCTATCTTGTTAAAGACCAGCCTAACACCACGAAATTACTTAAGTGGCAAGCTAAATCACTTCCAGCTAGCTATTTCTAGTTGGTGTCGCATTAATGTTGGTGAATCCTAACTCTTTTTTGTCATAGACTTCCATATAGGTGTACTTGAATTTGAATTTAATTATTTAGATTTAGATTTAATTATTAAATTATTAAATCTAAATTTAATTATTAAATCTAAATATAAATATAAAATTTAGATTTAAAGATGCAAATATATTGCCTTTATCTACTTATGAATCTATTTTAAATATATAGTCAGACCTCTCTAAATGTATATATATGAAAAATCTACTTAAATATATATCTTTTCTTGAGCCCAACTAATATAATACTTATAGATTTTTATCTCTCTAAATGTATATTTTTAAATTTTTTTACTATGGTCCCAATGTTATGCATTTAGAAAGGGTTAACTGTATTATAACAATATTAAATTTTACTAAATTTAGATCTAATAATTAAATTCAGATTTAATAATTAAATACAGATCTAACAATATTGTATATTTAGATAATTATTTGATAGGATATATATTAAAAATTAGTGTGAAAAAGTAATCAGTTAAAGAAGAGAGTAATTAGCTAGATGCAAATTCATTATGTAAATTTATCTAGCTATCAAGTTTATAATTTCTCTTTTCTTTTTTAGATTTTTATTTCTAATTTGCACAATACATCTTGTAGCTATCTAAAAAAATTCTTTATTTGTTACAAAATAAAAAATTTCATATTATGATTTTATTAATTAATTTATAAAGAATGTAATGCAATTTAGAAAATATATAGATCGCTAAATTGATATGAATAAATTGAATTTAATTAAAAATTTAAGAGTACAATGACTATTAAAAATTGCACCCTGTTCAAACTAATAATTGGATATGATGAGCAGCAAAATACTAATTATTGATAAAGAAATATTCTTATTTAAATAAATTCATATATCTCGTAAAAAATCAAAATATTTTGTAAATCTAGATAAGAGACTAACTAAAAAGCTAAAAAAAAGGTTTATAATATGATCTAATATACATATTACATATAGTAAAGTATATATATAATGATAATTATTGTATCGTATATTGAAAATAAGCTAACTGATTATAGTAAATTCTAAAAGGTTCAGTAATTTGAAAATGTTCAATAAGCTTATTTAATTAGCTTATAAGATCGACCATCAATTGTAGTTTTTAAAATCGGTTCTCATCTCTATTTATGAACTTTTTTGCTGTGTTTAATTTTAGATCATAATTATTAATGAATCAAATTCTCTAGAAAGAATAGTAATTTTTATAGTGAAAGAGCAAGTAATAATTTTATGTAGAGAGTGCATGTTATTTAGAAACATACATAGGTGTTATTTTGAAACTATGTATATTATTTTAAAGGGGCACGATTTTCTAATTAATGCTTATAAGCATTATTACGCAAAAATATGGTATGTGAATTCTTTAGAATTTTGCATTTTTCTTTATAATGTTATAGAACAGTTTATTATTTTATTAGTTTATTATTCCGATATTGTATTTTATTATTTATTTTATTATTATTA